GTAGTCGAAATAGAAAATGTGGAATCATGTTTTATTTCCTGAGCTCTGGATTTTGACCAAACGATAAGCCTAGGATCATCATCCGACTTTATTTGATCGAAAATTTCTTTACCGTAATTAGTTGAAATGAGTGGAGGTACCTCGGGCATTTGTAACGGTTTAGTCATTTGTCGCATTGCATCTGCCACTGAAAAGCTATGAGGTACATAAAACGTTGATTGCTTTTTGTAAGGATGTTGCCCTTTAGATTGTTGAATATCTCCCTCTTGGTCAATTGATGTATCAAATATTATCTCGCCACCATCTACCATATTATCCTTTATCGATGAGCTACCAACTTGACCTGATATTTGAGTAACAGGGTTCTGACCGGGTTGAGCTGGCCAGTTAAGTATTCTAGCAAGCATGCGAAATTCTTGATCAGAACTAGGCATTGCAAAGGGGTCATAATGCTGCATCGAAGTTGGAAGGAGTATTTGAGAGTTCGGACGAGGTTTAATTGGGTCGCTATATTCCTTTGGTCTGTATGGAGTAGGAGCGGATAAACGGTGTTTACGCGATGTTCTATTGTCACTATCATACATAAATGGAAAAAATATATTACAATTTAGAATTTTGAAGATAGACGAATTCGAGGCTGATATCACGATCCACCAAAATGTATCCCATTTTGCACATTAAAACCCCACATGGAATAATTCATCGTAAGAGATATTCATACTACTTAAAAATTAATCATCAAGATTTTGCTCGAACATCTTAACAAAGCATATAATTACTATATAAGATTCTAGTAAAATTCGTTATTTAACCTTAATTGCTTATCTTGGACTTTGTGCAGTCAACAAAGATTAAGCCACCCAATGCCTCGAATTCGGAATCCAAAAAACTGACCAATAGATTTTGTTAAACATTGATGACAGTGAATCTAAAGAGTCGAGAAAGGCATGTATGAATGTACTAAATATCGTTTTCTTGAGCATTTGAGGGTGACGATGAAGAGAGAAGGGTTGTAAGAGTCAGGTACGGTATTTGCACGAAGATAATTTGATAGTTGAAGGGTTTTGACCTAATTACGCCCAATGTGGGTTATTTCCTGTTTTATATAGGACTTTTGTAACTATACGTCACTGGCTTTTAAATTATTTCGCTTATGATTTTATTCCATGTCGTGATCTACGAACCACACTGACCAAATATCTAAATAACCTTCCTTCACATCAATTGGTAAAATATTCGCCACGTGATCAAAGGATAGTACAGGGATTAAAGAGGGTTATAAGGAGGTTAAAGAAAGTATATTATCGGAAGAGTGATATGAGCTCTGTGAAAAAAAATGATGATATATTTAGCATTGGCTCGAAAAAATTGGGTGGAAAGAACAATGAGAAATTGACCGAACCACAGAAAGATCTTGACGTGGACAAAATAATGGTCGACAGTGGGGGTGGTAGTGGTGTAGGTACATCATTAATAGAAGAATCGGCGAATATTGCTGTCTCATATGACAGCAGTAATTATTACACAGTAACTCAAAAACAATCAAATATATTAAGACATCAGTCATCGTCTTCATCTTTGGACTCAACAATTACTCCAGGAACAACCGATTCCGAATCGGAAGCAATTGAATATTATACGCCTAATATTAGTGGTGTATCTCGTAAAGAAACTCATCGGAACATTATATACTCTAGTAGTAGTAATTCACATACTAGCGATGAAGATTTATCTTCTAAAGCCACACATGACCAAATTGATGAGTTATACGGTCAAAAATGGTCAAAGAATTTACCAACTAGTTCTAGTGAATTAGGGGATGACATTTATACGGACAATAATGTTTATGAATATGAGGATGATGGTGCTGGCGTGAGCAGCAGAAAAGCACCACGTGCATCTATGCCAGAACGGTTGGCAGTTCCAATAGATCTATTACGACATTCAGAAAGAAAAGCAGATAAATGGAAGAAAAGAAGTAATTCAATGGGTGACTTATCACAAAGAAGATTAGATATATTTAATCAATTAGGAAGTGAAATAAATGAGAATGAAAATCCGTTATCTGAAGAAGAACCTCCACCACTTCCACCACGACGCAGAAGGCATACACTTGATGTTTCATCTGCATCACCTTCATTTTTTAAAAGTGGATTTTTAAAAAACAACTTTCCTTTGAAGAAACCTAAAAAGGCTACCACGCAAGAAAAAATCGTGGATTATTCGCTACCTAGTTCTCGTAAGAAAAGAAGCATGTCTTTTTCGGAAGCAATCTGCGGAATTATAGAAGATGATGATGACGATGATAATGACGAGTTTGATCTTTTTAACATTGATCATGCAGGTGGAATAACAAGAAGAAATTCGTCACCTGCATTCATTGGTTCAAATTCTTCAAGAACTGGAAATCAACCACCAGTTCAAGAACAAAGTTGGCGTCGCCCTGCCGCACGTCCTTCATGGCCTCGAAAGATGTCAATCACAGTAGGGAAATTCGCAAAAGGATTATTTAATGGTGAGAAAAATAAAGGTGCTACTCAGTCAGGAACATCGACAAAGTGTGGTGGTATTCAAGGTGATTTTCGGACAATGAGATTCGGTAGGCTTAGTATGCTATGTGCAACATCTTCTGGTTCAGCCAGCACCGAAGAGATTGACTCCGACCTATCTTGGGGAGATGGCACTAGCCCAAAACTTTTTAATGGAGATGAATATCATATTCATCTCGATGGATTTTCTTACGTTGATGAGTCTGTCGAAGAAGAATATTACGACACGTCTCATCCAGAAGAATCTGAGATAACAGAGCAACAATTTGAACAGTGGTATGATGAACAGCAAAGTACACACGATGACACTAATTTTGAGAGTTTAACATCATCACCAATTGATTCGCACCCTCCCACATTTTCCACCCTTTCCCAAGATAAGCAAAGCGACGATGATGATATACAGGATTATGAAGAGCCAAGAGACAATCGTCAATTAGTCCGTGCTACTCGTAGAAAGGCAAAAGTTTGGAATTTAGTTCCGGTGATTGAAGTTGAAGATGATGTAGATCAACCCACTCAATCATCAGAGACGGACACTTATTTTGTGTCACAAAGTTCGTCAAATGGATCACAAAAAGATGATGAACAACAACCAACTCGCAAACAAAGCTATCTTGCAAGTGTTTCGGAAGTTGAGGAAGGTGTCGACACAGATCCAAACTTTTCTCCTCAGCAATCTTTTGAACAAGAATATGATGATTTATATGAAGAAGAAGAATCAGGTGACCACCATAATATTCGTACTCTTCGTCGACTTCCAAAAGTACCTGATTTACGTTCAGTTACCAACCTCAAAGATTTAGATGAAAAGTCCGGCAAGCGTGTCTCCTGGGGAACGTTTTCTTCTTATGGAGTTGAAGGCGGTGGCGCAACAGCAGACTCTGCACCTGATTCCATGATGTCACTTTCTCGATCAACATCAAAAACGGCACCAACGTCAAGACGTAGAGGGCCTGCTAAGAATGGATCTCAAGAAAGTGGGGCTCGTCAACGGACTAGGCACACCACCTCTAAACCACCTAAAAATTCTTCAGAAGCAATGGCTCTTGAAAAAGGCACTAATAACAATAGAGGTAGTAATATTTCACGTTCTAAAAGACCAAAACATACACCAATTCACACAACCACTGAACCGAGTGTTAGTCAAGGACCAAGTAAGAATGTTTTATAAAATAAACAGCTGATAGTTGTAGTTACATTCATCTACCAGTGTTCCAACTCGAATAGCATCATCTTTTTCATCAACAGATCCAAGTTCCCGACAACACCCATATAAATCTTTCATACTGTCGTATAGATCAGAAGCAATTGCGAAACAGTTTTGTTTAATTGAAAGAGATCTTCTTATGCAAGTCCAGTGGGAAGAGTTGGTTCAAGTTAGCTGGACTAATGGCAATAAAAACAAAAACAATAATAATGACGTTGAGAAAGATTCCAATATTCAAGACATTCGAAAAGAGGCCAAAAAAGATGTTAAAGGAAAAAGAAAAGAAGTTGAATCTGAAATTGATGAAGAGAAGATTAAAGTCAAACCAATAAAAGATGGGGGAGTAGACAAGGTCATTGAAAGATTTAATCAAGTGCGTATTATTATCGTTCTTATAGAGAAAAATCAACAAGTCAGAAACAATTAATTAAACACGTAAACCATTTTAGACAATTGATTGGGTTGCTACCGAAATTATGCTCACACACTCTTTAGAAGATCGAGTGAGAGTGATTGAAAAGTTTATACGAATTGCGCAGGTTGTAGTCGAAATAGAAAATGTGGAATCATGTTTTATTTCCTGAGCTCTGGATTTTGACCAAACGATAAGCCTAGGATC